GCATTTCATTCCCCTGCCCCCCACCCCGACAGTTTGGTTATTCAGTCCATCCTTGAATTCTAGGAGCTAAAAGATAACAGTTTTGCCTGAACTGGGCTAGACTGAAATTCTTCTCACTTAGAACTGAAAGAGTAACAGGGAGAGTCAAAGGCCTATGCATAGTGGCCTTATGAGCCTTGTTGGAGACAGAGAAATAATTCTGGGGCTGGGGGAGGAGGGGAAACTACTGGGCAGTCCAGGGGTGGTGGAGGGGGTGGGGAGAGAGCCACTCAGGGCTGAGGCGCTCGGGAGAAGTATGATGGGGCAGGCAGGAGGTGACAGCATGGCCCCTCTGCCAGGGGACTGTGACAGCTGCTGGTGAATTTGTCACCTCACCCAAGAGAAAGGTGTGATACCCCTTTCCTCCTTCCTTCTTTATAGCCTTTGCCCCAGCCAGGCTGTGTTGCACAAGCTGGTGTCTGTGGTGCTGTCACTATGGTCTGGGGTCCCCCTTGGGGTCACTCCTCCCACTCTCAGGCTATACTCCAACATGGCCAGGGGTTGGCTCCCCCCTCTCTTTCTCTGGTTCCGTCCCATCTATTGCCCTGAGGGGGGGCCAGTGACTCCCTTCCTGACCCAGGCTTAAAAGGGCTCCGCAGATGGCAGCTGTCTCTGCAGAGACCAGAGAATAGTCTGTCCAGGTAGATACAAGCTTTGGGGCTGACCAGACCCATCCGATCCTGGGACTCCTGGGGGATGCGCCCCTCTGCAGTGCTTCTTCATTCTAGTTGGGGAGCAGAGAGGGCAGGGTCAGGGCCCAGCCATCTGAAGGATTGTTCAGTCAGGGTCCTGGCAGGAGATGGACAGCCTGCCCACGAGCGAGTGCAGGGCTGTTGATGGAGTGTTAAGCAGGATGGGGAAATCAGTAGTGCTGATGCAGTACGTGGGAGCCTTTGCCACCTCTAGGTCTGCAGGGACAAGGGGAGGGACAGATGCAGGCCAGCGTACGTGAGCTGGGTCTTTAGAAGAGGGGGCCGGGAACCATGGTGCCCGGGTTGGGGGGTGTAATTGCTCACCCTGATTCTCGCCTGCCCACACCAGGGTAGAGAGTGACTCCAGAGAGGCAAATGGAGACCTCCAGCCCACACGAGCAGCACAGCAAGACGCCGAGGCCGGCGTGGGTGGAGCTGGGTGTTGCTCCAGAAAGGGCCGTGGTGAGCAGCGCTGCCAACCAAGCGCGTCACTTGTCCCTGCCGCGAGGACTCTGGAAAAGCTGACCACATCGATAATTACAGAAGCCGGAGGTGGCAAGACCTCATAGCATCTCTGACTTCATCTTCTTGTCAGGGCAGGAGAAGGTCTCCCAGGAGGGGGAGGTGACATCTGAAGTTAGTCAGAGGCCGAGAGGAATCCGGCTCACTCTGCTCTTTAAACCAGTGCCGGCTGCTTTGAAAACATGACAAGTCCCCTTTTACTGGCTTGTGGTCTTCATGTTTTTAAAAATCATCCGAGGGAAGTGTGTTTTAATAGAGAAGACATATTTTCACCGGAATTTTCTGAGATTGATGATGCAATTAGAGCAGACCAAGAGGATAAAATATTAGGTTTATAAACTAGGATGTACACCGATGTTTATACTCTTTGGCAGGCAGAGATCTATAAATAATTCTTTCTGCCTTAAACTCAATGTAGTGTTTTGCTCTTTGTGTTAATAGCAGCATCTCCTCCCCAAAGGCCATTTCTGCGTTTGGCATAAATCACAGTGCGAGGAGAGGCTCATGAAATGAGCACCTTGGATGTATCTGGGGAAGAGAGATATCCTCTGAGTGGATTAGCGTAGGTGCCCTTTGGTGCTCTGGCTGTGAGGGTTGAGCTCCCAGGTTTCAGATGGGCCTTACGGCACATGTACCGTCCATTGCGGGGAGGGGATAAGACCTAGCACCCTCTCTGGTTGGAGGGAGCTCCCTTACTGATGGAGGTCATGGGGGCATTCCTTGCATGTGGTTTTCTCTCTCTTCATTGAAGTCTTTGGCTGCCATTTCCCGAGCCAGCGCTAATTGTAAAATTCTGGGCTGTTGGCCCAACCTCTTATTTGCTGCTTATGTTTTCTGGTCGCAGCTGATTTCAGCAGCTTTTGCCCACTACCTGGGCAAGGGTGTTCCCGTAGCAGTGGGTTCCCGGGTGGTCCCCTGCCTCGGGTGGCGTGATCTGCCTGAGCTCTGCCCACCCAGCTGAGCCGCCATGGTGCCTTCTCTCTGTAGGAGGCCTCTCGGGGGTCACTGTGGAGACAGGGCCTGTCACTCCAGGTGACTTAATCAGTGTGAAAAACCCAGCTGGAAGCCTCCTGTTGGTTTTCTGCCTCCCAACACAAATGCTCTTCAAGTGGTGGTGACCTGACATGGACTCTCAAAGAAAGGCCTTTTGATCCTGGGCTGGGGATGCCTGTCCCCGCGTGCTCCCGGCTGCCTCCCTGTGGAACTGTGGCGCCCAGCTGCCCAGCCGGGCCTCTGCTGGGAGGCAGCTGACCTGAAAGTGATGTTATTTTTTTGACGTGGGTTTTAGTACCCAGAGCAATAATATTTTCAGCTGGTTATTGAGGCTGATTAATGAGCTTCAAGCCTCCATTTGGTTAAATAGAGCCGCCTTCACAGATGTATTTTGGGACAGTGCAAATCCAGGGTTCTGCATGGGATTGAGTTACCCCAAAAGGTGGTCGGCCATTTGCCCGGGGCCTGGGCCCTGCAAAGCAGTCTGGGTAGATTCCCATGGTGCCAGACCACTAGGCGGGTTTCCAGAGCGGCAGGACACTAGGTGCTTCTCTCCTCATCCGGGAAAAAGGGTGGTCAGTTGTGCTCTAGAACTCTCACCCCCGCTGGAGACATAGCTCCCAGCCCTCTCACGTGCTCGTGGGACTGTATTTGAACTGGTTTTTGGTGCTCTCAGAGGCGCAGTTTCCTTATCTGTTAATAGGGAGTAATAATACCTACCTTGAGGGTGAGCCTATAACCTACTCCATACTGTGTTGGGTGTGCACATGTGCGTATTAGTTTGGGGGGATTTTTCGGAAGCATCAGGGGAGAAAATAACAGGAAAAACTCAAGGGGGGAAGAGCCACCTTCTCTCCTTAAATAGTCTCAGGAAATCGCATCAATCAAATCAATTCAACAAGAAACCATCAGTCCCACAAGGCTAGTCTTCGTGGTGTGGAGGCGTTGTGGAGGGCGACGCACTGAGGCGGGCGGCCCATGGAAGGAAGTCAGGAGGCTTGTGGGCCGCCCCCCCCCCCCACCGTGGCTCTGCCACTACCAGCTGTATGATATTGGACCCGGTCCTTGGCTTCTCTGAGCCTCGGTGTCCAGCTCTATAAAGTGAGGGGGTTGGATTCCTTCCGGAATTACTATCCCATAGCCCTGTGATCCAAATGATTGAAGTGTTAACATTTCTTCCTTGGAGAAAAATCACTGAGTCTTGATTCTCTATTAGAAGAGAAATGGTCTCACAGGAAAAACTTACTCGTGTTGGACGGAAATGTGTGGCCGCATCTGTGGGCACTCCACGTGCTGCCTCTGCTTACCCCTTTTCTGGAGGGGCTTCTGGACTGGCCTGGGGGGAGAGATTGGACCCTAGACACTGGATTGTGGGGTTGCCGTGAACTGGGCCAGGAGGGCCGGGGCGCCTAACTCCATGGTGTTTCAGTTTGCGTTGATGTCATTTCCTGTCTCTTTTGAAATAGCTGTACTTTTGGACCGAGGTTGACAAATCCTTGGGTGGTGGATTTTGAAATGGTTATAAACAATTTGCAATTAGTTCTCTTGTCTAAATGAGAAAGGCAGGCTTACCCAGGCTTCTTGTTAACTTGAGGCCTTTTATCCTCGGGCAAGTGCGTCAGATGTGAGTGAAGGAGCCCCTCTTGAGGTCAAGGAAAATAAAAAGGTTTGTCTTTTGGAGGTCCTGCTGACTTGGCCAGCGATCTGGAGTCCTAAATTCCTTGGAGTTGTTGAGAAAGAGCTCCGGTTTGGAGATGGAGGCCTCAGCCCTGCCATCTCCTCTGAATGACTCTGGCCAAGTCTGCTGAACATCCTGCTCTTCATATGCAGATGTGGTGTGAGACCCTACCCTCCCATATCACTGCCTGCGCTTTTTTGAGGTTCAGATAAGAACATCTGAAAAGGGGCGCCTGAGTGGCTCAGTCGGTTAAGCGTCTGCCTTTGGCTCAGGTCATGATCCTGGGGTCCTGGATCGAGCCCTGCATTGGGCTCCCTGCTCAGCGGGGAGTCTGCTTCTCTCTCTCCCTCTGTGTGCATGCGCGCCCTCTGAACATCTGAAAAATCTCTGTATGTTCATTTTATAAGCTGAAAAGCTGCAAAAAGCTCCATATTAGCGTTTTCTTTTGCAAGGGATAATAATGACAATGGTGATAATTACGGCAGCTGTTCATGGAGTATTATGATGTGCCTGGCTCTGGGCTGAGAGCTTTGTCACATTCTGTCAGCACAGTTGCCCTGTAGTGGTGCTTTTTCAATCTGCATTTTATGGAGGTGAAGGAAATCATCTAAGGTCATGCAGCTGAAAGGTCTGAGTGACCCCAGGCAGTCTCCTGGGGACCTTCCAGTTTCGTGGCTCATTATTTTCCAGTGGCTTCCTGTGATTTATCTGAGTCGGTGGTTCTCAACCCCAGCTGTCCAGAGCCCTGCCCTCCTGGCCAGAGGGTCAGAGTCTGTTGGTGTGGGGTGGGGCCCGGGTACCAGTGTTTGCTCCCGGTGACCCTAATGTGCAGCCCGAGAAGACAGCACCTGTTCTAATAAGCACATGTCTGTGGATGGTGCAGAGTAGGCTGGGCTGGACGTCAGAGCTCCTTGGCCAGGTCTTCTTCCCAGTCTGGGCCTCAGCTTCCTGCTCTGTGGGGGGAGGGAGTGGTCACCTGACCTCCATGGTGTCTTCTCCAGGGGCTGAGAAGCTTGTGTAACTAGAAGCAGCTCAGGAGCAGATCTGTTATTGTTCTTTTCCTTCTTCTGTTTCAGGCAGAATATGAAGTTACTCCAGATGAAAAGCTGGGGGAAAAAGGGAAGGAAATTATGACCAAGTACCTCACCCCAAAGGTAAGAGGCCACCCACACCCCACAGTAGGAGGAATAGGAGGCCTTCTAGAGGAATCTGGGCCCCAGATCCCGGCCAGGCCACATGGGGAGCTGGTGGCAGCTGTTGGTCTCCACAGATCCAGCATTCTCACCTCCCTCAGAGAGTGCCCGAGACTGGCAAGGCCAAGGCAGGTGGGCCGGGCCGGGCCGGGCCGGGCGTGGGGTAGGGAGGCCTGCTTCCTGGGGCCCAGTCCCCTCCAGGGGCCTTATGCTGCCACGGCCAACACCCAAGTGTTTGTAGCTGGACCAGTGGTGGCTTGGCCCAGAAGAAAGGGCAGAGCAGGGGTAGTTGGGAGAGGTTGGTGTGGAGGGGAAGGGTTGGGGGTGATCAAGAGGGAAATGAAGGGGCGCCTGGGTGGCTCAGTTGGTTAGGCGACTGCCTTCGGCTCAGGTCATGATCCTGGAGTCCCGGGATCGAGTCCCGCATCGGACTCCCTGCTCGGCGGGGAGTCTGCTTCTCCCTCTGACCCTCTTCCCTCTCATGCTCTCTATCTCTCATTCTCTCTCTCTCTCAAATAAATAAATAAAATCTTAAAAAAAAAAAAAAAAAAGAGGGAAATGAAGTGGCTGAGGCTGTGCTGGTAGAGGTACCACTGGTTGAATACACACAGAATGTAGTGTGTCCTGAAGTATGTTCTGCTGCCTGTTGAAGGGAGAGGGGCCATGAGGCCCCGAGTTCAGGAGCACACCCACCCCAGTGCTGAAGGCAGAGAGATAGCACCACGCCCTGGGGGCCTGGTGGCCTTGGTTCCCTGGAACCTGTTCCTTCTCGCCCCCAGCTTGACAGATAAACGTGGTCTCCATCTAGTTCACAACTTGGCCCGGGAGCCTGGGTTCTAGTCCCAGCTCTTCCGCCCACACAGTTAAGTCATGTTCCCTCCCTGCGCCTCAGTTTCTGTTTCTTAAAAGTGGTCCTCCTTGCCAGACCCATCTCCTAGAAGCCTTAGGAGCTTGAGATGTGACCTGCATCCCAGCAGTTCTGGGTGCGTTCTGTGCCCCTGTGGGCCAGCAGTGGTTCCATCCTCATCCAGGATCTGGATGCTGCCTCTCTCCCAGGCTACCAGGGGACTGGGGCTACCAGAGCCATTGTGACAGGGCCCTGTCGGTCCGTCCCCACAGAGAATGGCAGGGAGTGGCAACACACAGGCATGCGGGTCAGGAAATGGCTTCACCCCTAATTTGCCATGGGACCTTCTCTTCCTGGGTCTTCCTCTCCCCAGGCCTTGGTGTTCTTTGCTGTGAAATGGGTGAGGCTTGACCAGATAATGTCACAGGGTCCCTGCAAACCAGACCATCAGACTCCACTCTCTCCAAGCCTACACTGAGGGAGTGACAAGTGAGTCCCAAGATAAGAACCAAACAGTGCAAAAGATGACAGATGCTTCAGTCACAGAGAGAGGTGTTGCCCCCGAGGTGGAGAGACTCCCTGGATGTGACGTTGGACCCCTGGAAAAAAGGCAGCCCCTGCCTTGCCGGCCTGCCTCCTTGGGGGTGCTAGGGTACCAGGGTGCCAGGACACACAGCTTCACTAAAGCAGAAGGCAGTTGCAGAGGTCTGCTGCAGCTGCTCTGGAGGATTCCACTCAGGAGACAGGATCGGGGACACAAGGAATCTGGGCCCCATACAGCAGCTCCTGCAGCCCTAGGTGGGCTTCTGACAGCCTGTGACACCCCTGGCAAGGGCATCCAGGGTGACCTGAGGCCTTTACACTCACAGAAGCTCCTTCAGAGTTTAAAATCAGGCCTCCTCTGCCCTGCACATACGGACCATCTCTGCAGGTTTTTATACGTTTTATCAACGTGACGTGCAAGTCCCTTGAGGCCTGTAACTCCCACCCTGATGTTCTCAGCAAGCGTCCCAGGGGGTCCTTGGTAGTTCTGGTCCCCCCCCACACACCCTCGCTGCCCCCTCAGGGGTTCTGGAGGGCCAGGGGCCCCGAGCGTGTGGGGTTGTCACACCCCACCCCCCCGGGGGGGTCTCTCGTACCACACTGGGTCCTGTTCTGGAGCAGGGCTGCTCATCTCCAGCATCTGCAGGCGGCCAGGGGCATCTCTGTGCAGTCAGTTCAGCCTCACACCCAGAGAGGTCTCTTGTGTCACTTCTTCCTGCTCCCGCCAGGCCACCACCCCGACTTGTCATTCTCTTGCTCTCTCTGCTTCTGCTTTCTTCGTAAGCGTATGCTTCTCTCCACGTGATGGGCAAGCAGTCCCAGTCCTTCTGCACATGGCAGAAACGAGAGGATTCACATTCATAAAAGCCCCAGACGCTGGGCAGGGCCAGCTTGCTCTGCACAGGCGCGGCCCTGGGCCCACATGGCTGCCCGCTCCATCCGTGTGGCCATCGGGCCTTCAGGCAGCTGTGCCTTGCTTTGTTCCAGATACAGGCCTTGTTGGCATCTCTGAAAGTTCTCAGGTTGAAAGGGGTCAAGGGGGAGGTATGTGAGCAGGGTCCCTGTTTCCCCGCACTCGCAGCCGCTGTCATGTTGCTTTTGATCTCCTGGCCACCGCTTGAGACAGCGTCAACACCCTGGGCAGAACCAGGACCCAGAGCTCAGAGGAGGCACGGCTCTGAGGGTGCAAATACCCCAGGGTGGGTGAGAACAACAGCTCACCGGCTCAGTGCCTACGGGGTGCCAGACACCTCCTAGGCGTCACCTGTGATGGCTGCAGCCTCCGTGAGTTGAGACGTGTACAGGTGGCTGCCAGGGCTGGGGGGGGGCGGGGCAGGTGGATAATGTGCTCTGGCCACTCAGCTAACAGATTCTTCAGCTGCCCTCAGCAAAGGTGGTTTCCACGGTGCCTCAGCTTTGCCAGTCCAGCTCTCCATCTGCACCCAGTTGGGGCCACCCACCCACTTGTGTTCCCCCCGGACAATGGCAGCTAACGTGTTTTGAGGACCCACTGTGTGCAGACACTCTCTCCCCTAGTCCTTGCTGCTACCACGTGTTGGGATTCCATTGGCTCCATCTTACAGATGAGCACGGGGAGGCTCCGGAGGGACTGTCACTGTCCCAGGTGATGCAGCCGGGACTTGAGCCCCCGACCTGCAACTGTGGTGCCCTGTTCCCCACATCTGGTCCCTCACTGCCCTTCTGCTGCCCCCGCCCCGGCTGTGGTCTACAGTGAGGATGAAGTGGTTCCTTTGTCCAGCCTTGTCGGCTCCTTTGGCCCATCCAGGGGCTGCTGCAGGGGCTGTTCCATTCTCTCCCTGCCTGGCCAGCCTCATCTGGAAGCCCCTGCTGGCAGACCCCATCCTGCTCTCCGGACCCCCTGCCCCTGCTCAGTGCTGCCTCCATCTCCTAGAGGGATGGGGCCCAGACTCCTCATCAGCTCAGACGGTTTTACAAGTGCCTCTGAGCCTGCCAACATTTTTTCCTTAAGTACTCCTCAATTTTAAAAATTTAAACCACACCATATGTTGTGGCCCAGGGGCCTGGGGGAGGTGGTCGAAACAGTCCCATGGGGCGACTGTTTTCCTACAATAAATTTCGCACTGCCTCCCAGTCCTTCCTGTAGACAGTCTCTCAGGAGCTGTTTTCACTTCTTGGTGCTGCAGATGCCCCAAGGGCTGGGGAGCCAGGGGCTGGGGGAGAGGGGTCAAGCTAGTGGCTGAGGCCCCAGTGTTGGCCCTGAGGTCTTTGAAGAACTCCCAGAGCCATTGCTCCCAAACCCAGATCATCCTTACCTTGAGCCCTTCTTCAAGTTGTAGCCCCTGTGTCTCAGCTCCACGCAGCATTTCCAAAGGGTAGGCCGAAGGACGCCGATCATTTGAGAGGCTCTGTAGTCAGTTACATGTGGGTGATACTACATGTATCTTCCGCTTGTAAAGATTCACCTGGCACGTGAGCATTTCGAAGACTCTGAGAAGTCCTGCAATAAAGAAACCTGTTTGCAGACAAAGCATTTCCCAAACCTGTTTGACCATGAGACCTGTGCCCCCCAAATTTTGCATCCTGCTGGATACATCTGCGGCTGCAGAAGACATCCAAAGGTCTTCATGACCTGGTTTCCTTCTGCTTCAAAATCCCTTCTCCTGATACCTCTCCCACAGGCCTCACACTGGGCTCTGGCTATGTCATTTCCAGTCTCATCTTGCCCACACCTCGTAGCCTTTGTTCAGGCTGTGCCTGCAGGGCCCTTCCCCCTAGACCCCTGCTCTGGTTTTTTTTCCCTTCTGCGTCCCTCAGCCTGACACCTTGGCTGCACACAGCCCCTTGCCTCTGGCCACCTACCGGGGTGGTCTCTGAGCACGACGCACTGTTGTACTTATGCGGGTACACACGGTCAGCGCTCCAGGCCCCCGGGGGGATGCTGAGGAGCCCTCCTTGCAGAGCGGGTGACAGCATTTCTGGGGACCAGCCCGCTGCAGTGTGGCAGGAGCCGTGGCAGCACTGTGCAAAGGGAAGCTGCCCCTACACCAGCCTGAGTAGCCAGGGAGGCGTCTGGGAGGTGACGCAGCTGAATCAGATGTTAACGTGAGGAGGAGGCGGCCAGAAACAAATGAAAGGAAAGAAGGGCCTTTCATGGGCAAAGGTATAGAGCAGTGGTTCTCACCTGGGGACGGTTTGCCCCCCCGGGAGACAGTCGGCAGTGTCTGGAGATAGCTTTGATTGGCACACTTGGGAGGATGTGCTCTGGCATCTGATGGGTAGGGGCCAGGGATGCTGTTGAACACCTTCCGGTGCACAGGACGGCCCCAGAACAAAGAATTCTCTTGACACTAAGTGTCAGTGGCGCCGAGGTTGAGAAACCCTGCTGTGGAGGTGGGAGAGGGTGTGCGGTGGTCAGTATAGCAGGAGTGGAAAGGTAGGGGGATGAGGGCACCCTGGGCGGCAGGGCTGGCAAACGTGCTGAGGAGTTTGACACCATCCCGGTGGCAGCGGGAGCCACAAGGGCTTCGCAGGCCGTTTGCAGTTCAGGCTGGTCCCTCTGACCACATGGGGGAGAGAAGGGGAGGGGGGA